TGGCTGTAGGGGCGGTCGGAGGTGCCATCATCAATGTTCTTGACGATGACAGCTTTGCGTCCAGAGTAACGTCCGGCCAGGACCAGCACCACCTTCCCTGGTTTCATGAACTTGCCCATTTCGACAGCTGCCAGCCAGACCGACAACAAAAAGGAAGAACTGTTATCTGCTTTTCAAAACAGAAATCTGACCCTTTGCTGAAGTGAGCTTAGTGTTCAACTCCTGTGGCCACGGATTAAACAGCTGCCCAAAGGATGCCCTGTTCCTTAAGAGCAATGCTAACACTTGATTATTACCTGGGCCCAGGGCAGGCCTTTCTAATCCAGACTCATGAAAGGACAGCAGTCATACAGCGTTCACTGGTGGACAGTGTCTTCCAGTATGTAATTCAGAACACATCAAGGACTCACGAGGCAGACAGAAAACTCTTCTGAGGCTCCTGTGGTTGTGAAGTACCCTTGAGTCAGAGGCGACCTACAGCTGATTCTCCAGCAGGATTTCAGAGGCGATACAAGTCACACAGGAGAAGACGGCCACAGAGCAGGAGGATTTGGGCTGCGTGCCTTTGGGTTGGCAGCAAGAAGCTACCAGCGCTCCGTTGCAAGGCATATACCAATTCATTCCTGAGGTCACTCTAGGACAGCTTTGTTAAATCAGCGGTGAAGTTCAAGAGCAAGAAAGGTTGGACAAGCTGGACTCTGGTGAAATGAACTGTCACTTCAATAATAAAAGGTAAACAAATTTGACTTGTAGACTTTATGACGATTCCATGTCAGTTATGCATTGAATTGTGTCTCCCCAAAATATGTGTTGTAAATCCCAACATCTATGGCTTGTCTGTTACGACCTCCTTTGGGAATAGGTTGTCACTGTGGCCTGACTGGTATAGGTCAATGTCTTAGAAGGAAAGAGAGGTGTCAAGCCACATGGAGATGACTGGAATGAAAGTTGACAAGACAAGAACCTTCCTGGGGTGTCGGGACCCTTGAAAACTGGCTTTTCTAGCCATTGCATTAGCCCCTGTTGAGGGGGGGATGATTTCTAGCTACCTGAACTGTTAGCACACGGGTCTTGCAAAATCAACAGCTGTGAAACCAGGAGAATGCTTCCCACATTGTGAGGAAGGGCGGAAGACCGTGAAGAGACGGTAGAGACTGGCATATTATGAAGAGACTGGCACAGTGGAGGAACCTTGGAGATAAAGGCCACAGTTAAAGATTTTGCTTTGTTGCATGATTGAAGGGAAATCTGACTGGTAGGTGCTCTGAGTGTGTTGGAAACCAGAGGCTTCTTGCATTTGTGCTGCTGAACTTAACCTGGACTTTCCACTAACTGAGGAATTGTGCCTTGTTAACCTGGTTTGGGACTGCTGGACTAAACTGGGACTTGCATTGTGAGATATTCTTTTGCCTCCTCCACTTCCCAACTTATTTCTGTGATAAACTTCAGAACTGTGAGTAAAGCTTGTGAGTCGACAACTAGTATCAAACCCAATGATGGGTAGAAACAGGTGTAGGAGCAGGGAGGGTGGCGCATGTCTGTCTAAGGTATGGGTGATAGAATGCTGTTAGGTTTTGGGTGAACCCTGAAGTCGTTTAAAAGAGATATATAACTAGGTATTTCTGTCATCACAGGAGACTAGAGCGAGGGCTACATGGTGGAGGGGACCTGGGGGAGGGTTTGTAAAACAA